GTTCTAAATTATTCAGAATTCTTTCCCCAAGATTTTTGGTAACTCTTTCCTCCTAATGTTTGCAACAAGTCTTTGCTTATTCTGTCATGTTATTTATTTACTATTTTATTTATTCACAAGCATTTTTATCCTGTTCTGTTCCCAACGGTTCAGAATAGCATATGCCGAAGAAGAAAAAAGAACAGAAGATTAAAAATAACAATGCTAGCAGGATGCATTAGAATAACAGTGATCACAAGAACATCTGGTTTTGGGTTTTTTTAAAAAATGAGATAACATAATATCTACAACCTTGCAATCAAAGCCACACTCCTTTTTACATGTGCTACCTGTGTAAAAAGTGTGTGGCTTCAGTAGTATGATCATAGTCATGGCTTTGAACTTTTTAATCCTTTGCTGATGTTGGATTATTGACAATACATACAGAGCGCCTGATGGTTTGGGAGATGCAACAGATGTTCCACAATCTCCTTTCAGTTTGACTCATTTGCATTTCTACTACCAACAGAGTAGCAATTGCTCTGTCCTTGTCCTGTTGTTATCTTTAAGGTGAGAATTGCTCATAAAGCCTAGCTTTGGTTTAAAACAGTGGTTCTCAACCTTTTTAATGCCGCGACCCCCCAACCGGTCATAAGTCGAGGACTACTCAACCGGTCATAAGTTGAGGACTAAACTCGTTGTAAGTCGAGGACTACCCAACCGGTCGTAAGTCGAGGACTTTCCCTGCCCGGGAGCGCTGCGCATGTGTGGTGCCGCCCCCTGCGCCGGCCGAGGCGTAGCTGGCAAGCGGCAGAGACAGAGCAGGCTGACCACCGGCTGGGCCACCAACTGGCCCAGCCCAAGGGAGATAAGGCACCCGCCGGGCCCCACGTGTGCCAGCAACCCTCCCTGCGCCCGCCGGCCTCCCACCCCTGGCCCTCTTTTACTTACAGTACATTTTTAGTAGTTGCTCAGCAGGGAGAGGTGGAAACTTCCAGACAGCTCGCCTTCGCTGCAGACAACTTGCAGCACCATTTGCAGAATGGGACTTTTGGCGGGCTCAGCAGGGCAGAGACAGCCTGGACAATTCCTATTGGCTTAGAATTAGACTCTATTCAAGAGAGTCTAATAGAATTAGACTCTATTCAAGAGAGTCTATTCTATTGGTTTTCAAAAGCCAATAGAATAAAAGGGAGTAGCACAGCTAAGGAAAAGGGGAAAAAATGGTGGACTACGTTGTTTGGCAACCCCTGTGAAATAGTCGTTCGACCCCAAATGGGGTCGCGACCCACAGGTTGAGAACCACTGGTTGAGAACCACTGGTTTAAAACAAAAGACCACATTGGCAGTTTTCTGATGCTGAGATGAAGTTTTAGAAGTACTAGAAATTGGCACAGAGTAGAGTAGAGTAGAGTAGAGTAGAGTAGAGTAGAGTAGAGTAGAGTAGAGTAGAGTGGAGTGGGGTGGGGTGGGGTGGGGTGGGGTGGGATGGGATGGGATGGGACAGAATAGAATAACAAAGTTGGAAGGGACCTTGGAGGTCTTCTAGTCCAACCCCCTGCTCAGGCAGAAAACTCTATACCACTTCAGACAAATGGTTTTCCAATCTCTTCTTAAAAACTTCCAGTGATGGAGCACCCACAACTTCTGGAGAGAAGCCGTTCCACTGATTAACTGTTCTAACTTTCAGGAAATTTCTTCTTAGTTCTAGATTGTTTCTCTCCTTGATTAGTTTCCATCCATTGCTCCAGTTGCTATTCAACATTGAAACAGCTGTTTTTCTCCCTGTAGATTGTAGAATGAAGGAGGCATCTTTCTGTTGGCTTGTTGGCAGGCACTAACAGAGATGCTCAACAGCTGTTGACTGTCAAATGTTTATGATCTGTGGATTTAAACTTGGATGGATGAATTAGTCTATTCATTGTGATTGGAGATGTTAATATGCTAGTTAGTATCTCCCACAAATGAAGCTCAGCTCATAGTGGTTTCATGGACCATCCATACAGCTGTCATAACAGCTGTAGAGGGCAGCAGGTAAAGCTTGAAGGAACTTGAGAGAAGGTTATCTTACCAATAAAAGAGAATGTTTGTAGCACAAGGTTGAACTGTGGGGTCCTTGATGCTCTCTGAGCTTGTCTGTTTGTTTGTAGACATTTCATTACCCAGCTAGGTAACATCATCAGTGCTAGGTGGTTAGGTTATCTGCCTCCAGTTACAGTGGCTTCCCATAGGCAGCTCAGTTCTTTAGGAGGATGGACTACAGATCATAAACTTGTCAAAGACTGTCCCCCTCCTGCCAAATTCACTCCTCCCAATGTTAAGATGTTCTAGGCCTCTTGTATGAGAGCCTTCTGCAGTCTTGACATCTTGTCAGCATAGATCTTTTTAAAGAACCCCTTTGTTTTTTTATTCTCTTTGCCTTGCAAAATACTACTTTGTTGTTTTAAATTGCTTAGATGTTGTTGGTGATGAGAAGTGCTATATAAATGCTTCCATCAGATAAATTAGGAAATAATAATAATAATTGTATCTCCTGCAGTTTAGACATTTGATCTGCCATTTCTTACTGACTGAACCATTTCTTCAAAGAGCAAAGCTCTTCGTACATTTGCAGTAGGTCTAGGGTTAAGTGCTTAGTGTAACTTCAGAAACACAAAATTACATCCAATTGTTATCTGGCTATCCAATCTTTTGTTTCACGGCCTGCCCATCTCTTCATATGCCAGCTCTCTTGATAGTTAAACTTGGAGCAGAGATGCAATTAGATTGCTAAGGAGGTGTGAAAAGCCGCACAATTTATTATTTCAAGAGAAAATGAAGAGTTGTCTCAGTAAGAGGAAGATTTCAAAGGAAAGTTGATCGTGCATCTGTCTATTATTTATGCAATATTTTGAAAGGCCAGTTGAAGAAGTGAATGTGGTCCTAGAGAGTCTGGAAGACTTCTGTTGCCAGGATGAGGAAAGGGACACCAAGACATTCCTTGTAAAGCAGCTTCATCTGGTGGGGACCCCCCCCCCCCAAGTCCTGGCACTGGCTCAGTCTGGGAAACCAGAGAGAGATTCAGGTCCAAAAGTGATCCAAGTTGCATAGCTTCCTTTCTGGGAAGATCTAATCCCATTTGGAGCAAAATGAACAGAGATAGACTTTCCAATCTGATCAATCTGCCTGGAATTTTTCTTTGGCATGGCAGGTATTTCTTACTTATCTGCCCAAAGTCACTCCAGAAGCTTCCATGGCTTGCAGGGGTGGGTGGGTAGGGTAGAAACGGGGTCTTCTCATCCAACAGATTGACCACTGCAGGACACACCTCTCAAAAACTCTTCTGTTTTTTAACTCAACAGCTTTTCTCATACTATGTAAAGATCTTAATTGCTATGCCGTTATAGCAGGATGGGTATTTTCATTCTTTTAATCATTTTTTTATTTACTAGCCCTATCCTGAAGAATGCTTTGTTTTAAAAACCAGTGTTTCAAACTGAGTTGATTGTTAGAGCTTCTCAAATTAACGTCTGTCTAAAGACTAAAAGATTTCTCATGGCAGCTGATTAACTGGACTGGGGTTCAGAGAAGTAGACAGTTTGTAGGGCTGTCATCCTACCCCTTTCTGAAAAACAGCCCCCTACCCATCAACTGGAGCTGTAGAATTGCAAACAACAAAACGTACTTCCCCCCCCCCCCCAGTTACATCTTATAATTATGTGGAGGCGTTGAGTGTCATAGCCTCAACCTTTGGAAAACAATTTTGTTTAATGACTAGTGCTTAATTAATGCTTGAACTCATCAAAAGCTAACTAGATCAAGACAGCATCGAACTTGGGTGGCAACATTTATTGGCCATTATGTCAGCCTCTTAAACTCCTGGGAAGGGGAGACTTTTCTGAAAAGAAAGAAAACTTTTTTAAAAAAAAGTTTCAATACTTCTTCCTTTCTGACAAGACATACCAACTGGATTGGAGCATTTATTCATTGAACACAAAAGTATTCCATAAATACTGGTTGCGTGCATACAACAATGTAAACTTGCAAAGAAGCATCACAGATTTAACAGATTTTCTTGCTCATACCAACAGTAGGAGTAGGAGTAGGAGTACTAATAGCAGTAATAATAGTAGTTGTGTGTGTGTGTGTGTGTGTGTGTGTGTGTGAGAGAGAGAGAGAGAGAGAAAGAGAGATATTGATTGATTCTGTGTCTCCTTCACTGCTCTAAACACTCAAAGAAAAGTCCTTTGGAACTGAAATTAATGAGACTTACTTTCAGCTACTCACTAGTGATAAATTAGTGCAATGCATTAAAACCACAGTTCACACACTTAACAAGATTGGATAAAGGCTTAGTGACTGCTTTCACATAGCACACTAAACTAGTTTAGTTGCTTTTATTAGATCATGTCAGCTTAGCCTGTCCAGTTGTGTTGATGGTTTAGTGGCTTGTACAAATCCAGAAAATGGATTCAGTAACTAGCTTCAGTGCTACATGAATGCAATAAATGTATAATAAATGTAATAACAATAATGTATTATTATGGGTGGTCACGCAGTCAGCCAGATGTTCAGTGGATTTGGCATTTTTAGCCACCTATTGAGTCCTTCCCAAGGACCTGGGATGATAGGCAGATGTTGTTATTTGAGGGCATCAGAGGTATCATCACAGGATATCAGCTGTTCCAAGTCAAGCTGCCTTTTGCAATTGACCGCCGGGGATATTGTCAATGCCGCTGATATTCAAGTGGTGCTCCAGATGTTTTGGGATTATTATTTTGGTTCGTCACACAGTCAGACAGATGTTCAGACTGGATTTGGCATTTTTATCCATCTATTTTATCCATCTACTGAGTCCTTCACAAGGACTTGGGATAGGCAGATGTGGATATTGGAAAGCATTACAGATATTGTTGCAGGACGTAAGCTGTTCCAAGTAGTAATGCACAATAATCACACTTTGGTGGAGGCTGTCTTTGGTCTTGAATAGAAACCTGTCCAGTTCCCAAACACACTTTGATTTATTCCTTCATCTCAAGCAGGTGTCCAAACCGAGAGTGTTTCTTCTCCATGGATTTCCCAAATATCTTCTGGTACAATGACAGCTATGAAAACAGGACCTTCAACAGCTCCAGCCTGGAGCAGAAGCCCACCCACTATAACTACTATGCCATGCTGTTGACGCTCCTCATCTTTGTGATTGTCTTTGGCAACGTGCTAGTCTGCATGGCTGTGTCCAAGGAGAAAGCCTTGCAGACCACCACCAACTACCTGATTGTCAGCCTTGCTGTGGCTGACCTGCTTGTGGCTATGTTGGTGATGCCGTGGGTGGTCTACCTGGAGGTAAGAAGGCCACGATTGCAACCTCAGGTTTTCTGGAGGCCTGACAGATGTCCATTGTAGGCATTCCATGAAGGTTCCTTTGGAAGCAGGAAATTACATAGACAAAATGAGGGCAATCAGGAGAAATATAAAGGTGATGTAAAATGTCTCTTGAAGGCTGTTAGTTAAATGTCAGGTCTGCATCTATGGAAGTTCTCCTTGGGAGAGAAAGACTACTTCCCAGAGGTCAGGTTTCCCTCAACCTGAGCAGAGAATTCTGGAAAACAACAGGACCTTTCTAGACAGAAATACATCTATTTTTTATTTTTTTGCACTTTCCAATCTAGCAAGCAGTCTGGGATTTCCTGGGACAGTAATCAGCCTTTGGAATGCTAGCCCTATTTAGCTTTCAGGTTTCCTGATCCCTTCACCTGCTGAGACTAATAAAGCATTCATGCCCCAAGCCCATTCAAAACTATTCCTCAGAGGGCTGTGCATTTTCAACAGTCTTTGTTCCTTGTCGAGGAAAATGCATGCTGGCATTTGCTTGGTTGCATTCATGAAGCATAGTGAACATGGATGGGGTTGTGTAATTAGAAATGCATCTGTTGGAGACACACAGGGAGAGAAAACAACAAGTTCATACCATAAGCAATTCATATTCTCCCTTTCTGCATTTCAAAAGACTGGGTTTACAAGCCACATTTGCAAATTGGTTTTTATGAGAGCCTGAAGCTCTAAACAGGAGTGGGACAGCATCCTACTGGATGCCTTCTCTCGAGGGCTCTGCTGGTGGGGGAGGATGACCTCTCAGGGATGGCCATGCTGATAAAGTCAGAGGCACCCCATGAACCAAAACGGCCCAGACTTTTCTCTAGAGATGTGGGCAGAAGGCAGGTCAATGGGAGTGTGCTTTGGGGGGGGGGGCTGAGGAGGTCCTGGTCCCACAGCACGTTCATTTTCAGTAGCCGTTAGTGCTGCAGAGCAGCTCTTTCATCCACCTAGTGCTGATAAAATATTTGCCTGATGCTGCTGGCACACTGCAGCCAAAGTCAGAATTTAACAAAAGAATTAATCCCACATTTTGCCATGGGCACGGACATGCACACAGAGGCACATAGGAATACGCATGCACACACACACAAACAGGTGATCCACGATCATCCTCTCTGAACTTCAGCCTGATGGTGCTCTTTGTTCATTTCTCCCATCTTTCCAGGTGGTCGGTGAGTGGCGCTTCAGCCGCATCCACTGTGACATCTTTGTCACCCTGGATGTGATGATGTGCACAGCCAGCATTCTTAATCTCTGCGCGATCAGCATTGACAGGTAAGACATGCTCTCTGGGTCTGCCTGGCCAGGCTTCCCACTTCCCCCACCCTTCTTCTCCCCACATTCTTGCCAACTCTAGACTCACATCTCGGAAAAAATGTCTTCTCTCTTCCTTGCTTTCAAGAACTGGGATGTGCTCCCCATGGTCCCCCCCAATTGTTGTGTCCTTTCCCACAGGTACACAGCTGTGGCCATGCCCATGCTGTACAACACCCGCTACAGCTCCAAACGCAGAGTCACTGGGATGATTGCTGTGGTGTGGATCCTCTCCTTCGCCATCTCCTGCCCACTGATGTTTGGGCTGAACAACACAGGTATACAGCCAGGCAAGGTACCCTCTCAGGGTTGAATTAAAGTTCCCTTTAGGGGTTCTAGTCTCCATCCTGAATAACACACACTTTTCTCACTCTGAGAAAACAGTTGTGCAGAGAGAAAATCCCCAGACATGCAGAGCAGAGCCAGGAAAAATCAAGACTCCATGCAAGGGTGGTCAATAGTTCTTCTGAGTCTTTAGGTCACACCGAGCTGTAATTGCCAAACTCCCTGCCAGGCCCCTTGTTCCACCTCTTGCTCTAAGCCTTTCAAGTTGAAAACAGAGCTTGATCCAGTCTAAAATATTCTTATTCTAGGTTTACCTTTGGTTGATATCAGTGTAAATGATGGGGTGGAGGTGGGGAAGGGACACTTTCCCTTGTCCATCCATGAAAGTGTTGGGAAATTGCCAGCCAGGCTGGAAGGAGGAGTCAAACAAGGATCTAGTTCAGAGTCCTTGCGTAGCTGCAAGTGGCATAGTCTTGATCTTCCCCCAAATCCAGGAAGCCTTATCTGGATGTTCTCAGGGGAAAGCAAAAGCAGTCTGGTGGGATTCTTGTAATATAGATGGTACACAATAAAGTTGCTGACTTTAATTTTGTTATTCATGAGTGGCTCTGGTTCCTGGCATCTGACAGAAGGTGTAAGGCTCAAAACCTGGAGTATCTTACTACCCATTAAAAAGCCATATTTGTGAGTAGGGGAAGTCTAGCTGCTCCTCAGTTCTTTCCCTCAAATGGAAAATCTCATCCTCAGAAGGTCTGTTCCTCAGAACAAAGGGTGAAGATGGAATTCCATCTTAAAAGGAATCCCTGTTGCCCTTCTTGCACCCACAGCTCTCTGGACACCCAAGCTGATTGTAGGTCCTAATGGCTGGGGCAACATTCCTGCCCTCTCTTGTGTCTTCCAGAGAAGAATGAGTGTATCATTGCCAACCCTGCCTTTGTTGTGTATTCTTCTATCGTCTCCTTCTACGTTCCTTTCATTGTCACCCTGCTGGTGTACGTGCAGATCTATATAGTGTTGCGGAAACGCAGAAAACGGGTCAACACCAAGCGCATCGCCAGTCACGTGGGCCTGGGCGCCGACACGCAGGCCCCATTGAAGGTAACCTCAGCTGTCTATTCCTGATTTCCATCTTCTCTGCCCCACTCCCCCGGTTATGGTTTCCACCCTGAGATTTACTCCTCCCCAATCAACGATGTTTTGTGCGAAGGTGGCCGCAAGGAGATGTTTTCCAAGGCACAACAACAGGCAGCAGCCATGCATGGAAATATTGGCTTCAGAATTAAATGGGGCACTTCGCCAGACTGATTAGTCTTCTTATCTCTAGCCTTGTTTCTCCCTTGTGGGGGAGATGGAACTCTTCCATGTTCCATATTTTTGTCCTTGGCTCTACTCTGGATAGTTGCTGTCTTATGCCAACCATCTCTCTCTTCTTTCTTCTTCTCTCTTTCTCTTCAACTCTTCTTCTTCAGGAGAAATGCACTCATCCAGGAGATGTCAGGCTCTGCACACTCCTTGTGAAGAGCAACGGGAGCTTCCCTGTTCATAAGGGCAAAGTGGTGAGTGTCCATGCCAAGCATCCCAAGTCTACACAGGTGCTGCCTTTGAGGCACCCTTGGCTTTGAACGTTGTATGAGAGTCTTGAAGCATCAACCACAAAACAGGAGTTGGTGGCATATCCATTTGTATACAAAACTGTAACAAGCCACTTCATAGCCTTCAACTTATATGAGGGCCTTGTGCCCTATGCTGGATATTGCCATCAACCCTGTGACAAACTTCAGTTCCTTCCCACAAACAATCCTTGGTGATTTTCCTCAAGTTCCCCAAAATCCATCTGCTTTCAGGAGCCCAATACAGAAAAGAAGATGGTTAATATTTCTCCCTGCTGTGTCCTTTGATGGCTTTCTTTCATTCAGAGAGAGACCGCATAGAAAGACCCCACGGAGCTTACCCCAAAGTGTTGCCTTCAATCTTCTTTTCTGCCTGAGCACAGAGGAAACTGACTTCTCTCAAGTATTTTTGTATTTTGGGTCCCCCAAAACACAGGGAGGAAAAACCAGAGACATTGGTTCCAATTTACTCAAAAGTTTTCCAATTCTGCTACTAATATTTTTAATTCCAGAAGTTGCAGACTCTCACTGCTGTCATTGAGGATGGAACTTCAAACAGGGCTTGACCCTGCTTTATTTATTTGAACAGGAGTCATCCTTGTGACTAGCATGCTCTCAGGGGGCCCACTGAGATGGCACTGTTTTGCTGCTACATCTCCACTCTTGTTCCTTTCTATTAGTCATGTTCCACTTTGCATCTTGGAAAAAGAGATTTGCAGTTCATTGGCTTACTTGAAGGAAATTTTCTCTTTCCCCACTATACATGTTTTTCTTTTCCTTGTCTCAGTATTTGTTTGATTATATAGCCTGATGTACCTGATCATTATGCAGGAGGCCATGGATCACATGGAAGAGATGGAGATGGCCACTAGTACCAGCCCACCAAAGAACAATGTCCAGCCCCCTCTGCCAAGTGACATGGAACCAGCTGAGCCAGCTGCTTCCATCCCCTCTGCCAATTTAACTCCGCCGTCTCCTGAAAACAGCCGCCTGGACATGCAGAAGAACGGGCATACCATAGACAATTCCAAAACAGCCAAGGTCTTTGAGATTCAGACAATGCCCAATGGCAAGACCAGGACTTCCCTCAAAACTATGAGCAGAAGGAAATTTTCACAACAGAAGGAAAAGAAAGCCACTCAAATGCTTGCCATTGTGCTTGGTAAGAGTTTGGTCCAACCTCCATTGTGGAAGCTACAGCTTCAGCATTTCACTGGATTTATAGACTGGCAAAATAGATATTTGGGAGAGGGAGGAGGAACTCATTATAACACAAACAAAGAACTTCAAGGCTAGTTGTTATGTGGGATATTTGTTCAACAAATGTGCCAATTTCCAATCCCAAAGCATTTGGCTATTGTTGCCTCTTGTGGTTGTGACGTCTCCAAGTAGGAGGTAGGCAGGGAGATGCATTCAACGGCTGTATCAGGCTTACCCCAGCTTGGACACTTAGGAAAGAAAGACCCTCAACTCCATTTGTAGTGAAAGGTATACTTTTACTAAAGCCAAGCGGTTACAGCGTAAGAAAAGCTGGGTCTGACTATTTCCTCATAAATCCTACTTTTCCCCCTTCTCCTGGATTGTCCCCCCTTGACCAGTTCATAAGTGTCCAATTATATTCAAAGCAGATGTTTTGGTAATAGTCTTAAGATTTAGTGCGTCTTTGGTTGACTTTTGTGTTCCATTCTCACATTCATGTCCTTGGATCTGCCGGTCTGTTCCAGATTGACATTTCTGGTTCCTGTCATCCTGCCAACCCCCCTGCCCGTGTTTATGGCAGGTTGCCAGCAAAGCGAAGCCGGCTCAAGCGATTACGATGGCACACCTGACAGGTTGCACTGCTAACACGGCTCCTTTTCTTGGCCCTCTTGCAGGTGTTTTCATCATCTGTTGGCTCCCTTTCTTCATCACCCACATTCTGAACATGCACTGCAACTGTAAAATCCCACAGGTCATGTACAGTGCCTTCACATGGCTCGGATATGTCAACAGCGCAGTCAATCCCATCATTTACACCACTTTCAACATTGAGTTCCGGAAAGCTTTTATGAAGATCCTTCATTGCTAGCCTCTGCTTGAGGACCAGTCATCTGAATCACGTGACCGGATTAAGGCTGTGTATCAGAACACCCAGTTTGAGAGTGCCATGCCAATATATTTCTACAACTGGGATACCACAGCTGTCATGGTCCAAGGTTGCCTTGTGCTCAAGGAAGCATTGAAACTCTGTGAGACTCGGATGGGAGAGTTTGTGTCAAATGCAACCTTTGCATTCTGCTAAAACGAGAAAGCAAGCAAGCCAAGTCTCCCCACAAACAGCTGTGGGATCAAGAAGATCTCCAAGAGATTCATCACCAATTTTAGCTGAGCCCAAGAAGGAGAGACCATGACTTGCTCTTATTTCTCACCAAAGACGCACCCATTCTTGCCCGCTTCGCAACTGGAGGAAGATTCCTTCTTCGAGGAAGAAACAGCTTTCCCAGGAATCGTGTCTGTTGGCGTTGCCTTCAGATTTCAGGGACACTGTGGTGCCCATCAAATTGCCGAGGCTAAATCATGCAGCTACTGTGAAGGCTTGGAGTAGTCGCCAGACCATTGTCACCAGACAAAAGGAAGGGGGAAGGGGAGGAGGCTGTGAGAGAATGAAAACTCAGGGTGGAGAGGAGAGGCAGAATTGTTTATTATATGATGCCAATGTATATACAAATAAATAGAGGGAACTGAGCAGAAGCCCAAGCCAAAAAAAAGTGAAAACCAATCAATCAATCTTGTCTTACATGGAATGCATTGTAATTAAAAAGCCATCTCTGCTCACGTACACCAGCATATGTGGTAGACAGCAACTTCTCAGCTTCCAGAACTGAATCTCTGGGAGAACAAATCAAATCTGACAGGGAGGGAAGGATGGATGGAAAGATATGGACTACAAGGCCCTTGTCAGGCACTTAATAGTGAATTAAAGTCTGGAGAAATCTCAACCAAGCCAAAGTGTTAGCTCAAAGGTAAACAATATGGTGCATACATGCAGAAGATCCATGTTAACCCCAGGTTAAAACCCCGTGGATTTAAAAGAATCAGTTAAAAATGAAGAAGAAAATTTTGCGCCTGAAATTCCGAGTAAATTATTCCTAGTCAGTCTTTAAGTGTAAGCTAGATCAATTAGGCAACAAGCCACCTTTTGGATCATCTGTGATTAGAAAGAATGCAAAGGGTGGGCTTTCCTTTCTCTCCTAAGTTAGGCTTACCTTATCTGGGCTGCAAAAACCCACTAGATGGCAATAAAGAGAGTTTTCTGGGTTTTTAAAGAAACAGATATGGTTGTCTTGATTCTAGACTAGCTTAGATTTTCTTTTTGTCCTGTAGGAAGGAAGAATAGAAGAGGTGACGCAAATGGAGAGACCTGGTGCCCAATGGTATAATGTAGCCTACATTTCTTGGGTGATCAGAAAATATCTAGCTTGCAACATCTGCCCTGCTTGATGGGCATACCTGTTGAGGCAGGTGATACATCGATGCGTTTCAGGATTCTTTCTGCTTTGCTCCCAACATGGTGCAACCAACACAGGAGAAAAAGTCATTGGAAAGATTATTTTGATGAAGCTGCATCAGACATTATTTTTGTCTGGCATGCTGGCTTCACTTCTGTCAAGATTGTATTTCCCTTAAAGCAGAACATCTGGGCCTTTGTGCTTTCAAGAAGCTTTTCAGGGAAAAAATTGAAACTCAATTTTCTTTAGGACAGAAAAATCTAAATAACACAGTTCCAGGTTGAAGGAGTTTTATTTTGTTTTCTTTTCCTCCCCCAGATCTTCTGTTAAATTTTAAAAAGCATTGACACCCTTCTTTGACTTTCCTGAAAGATTCATCTGGGCAATTTCATAGGTTAACCAAATAAACTCCACGTAGATCTTCCTCATATTTCTATCTTGAATGCTCATGTGATAGCCAAGTCTACTTGGATGTCTTATCTTTTCTCTACAAAATGATGACTGACAGTTAGGAATGAGCAATTACACATGGTCTTGAGTCAATTCGCCTCAATTGGGGTGGTGGGAAAACCATTTACAGCTGAAACCTTTTCAACCTCTCCCTCTAGGAAAAAAACCATCATCAAGTCATCAGCCAGAATGGTCAAGACCTTGGTGGCCAATGCTGTTATTGTTACCCTCTATCAAATTCACAGTATTTTTGTAAGATGCTGCAGAAACTGTACAAGCCAACTAATAAAATGACATGAAAATGCGTTTTCCGGGATTTTATTTGTGAACCTGAGAAGTGAGTAAGAGAGGAGTCTAGCCATGGCCGTCTCAGGTGCTCTTGGGAAGAACAAACTTGAAGGCTCTTGTGCAACCTTCTCCATTTTCCAGATTTCTCTTCTCTTATAACCTAGAATCAAAGCTGTGGCTGACCTTCCTCAGATGGATCTCTCTACTAGCTTGTCTACGGCCTTCAGAGCCTGCACTGACTGTTCCTCCATTATACTTAATGGTCTCAGTAGGTAACAGCAAGTCTGATTAGTGTGGCCAAAAGATATGGTTTGTTGGATCCAGGCAGTCTTTCGGCTTTCTTCCTGGTGCCTCTGAAGGCTGAATCATCTCCTCAGCCCCTCAGCTGACCTGTCTCTCTTTTGAGACGAACCCTGGGGGTGGCTGGATGGGTGGGGAGGAAGGGATAACATTTCCTTTGCTTTTATTGCAAGAAGACAACAAAGCACCTTGACATTCATGGTGTTTGAGTCTTTTAATTAAGAGGGTGGCAAATTGATTTGTAGGGTGGAGTGTATTGATTTAGATTCAAACAAAACCTGAACCAAACAACTGGTTAGAACAAGATGTTTTGTCTGCCTCTTCGGCTCTCCACAAATTTGGCATTTCCAGTTTCCTGACAGGGAAGGATTTGCCATTTTCCGGTGTTTGTGGAAGAAATTAATCTTTTGGCTCACATGTAATCCTATTAGTGGCCTTCCACAAAAGGCTATCTAATTGCTGTGGTACAAAGATTAGCCTGCTGTTGCTCTTTCACACTTGATGTCTCAATCCTTTCCCAAGAAACAGGTGGCAGAAGGTTCAAAGATAGAAACCCTCAAATTTGCTTGATCTAGGCCCGGGGTAGGCAACCTTGGCTCTTTTATGACTTGTGGACTTCAACTCCCAGAATTCACAGCAGCACACAGCTGGCTCAGGAATTCTGGGAGTTGAAGTCCACGAGTCATAAAAGAGCCAAGGTTGCCTACCCCTGATCTAGGCTAAGTCTGCAATGGGCCATTTCAGGATTGCTTTGCCTGACTTGATAGAATAAAGCAACGTGCTTCTAGCTCCTAGAGATAGCATGACTTTATTTACTTCATTTATGTGAGTAAGATGTCCATGAACACAATGCTTCACCCAGGATATCTGTCGAAGTAGTTTTTTGTGCTAAGAAATGTCCAGATGTGGACAGTGGTGATCAAAGAAAAATGAGAAAAACAGACGAAGTGGGAAGGTAGTGCTGAAAGGTGATCATATTTAGTCTGCAAAGTTTAGCCAACTCAGCAGGTAGGTTAATGAAAACATTTTGGTGGAAAGCATCCCCTATTCAACGAGTTTTCATATTTCTAACATTTTCGTTAATATGACTATTGTAGGAGTTTCCCAACTGCCAAGCTCTTTGAGAACGTTTCTCCATTGTAAACTCATCAACCATCTGACAATAAAGTGTTTCCGAACAGTTACATAATCGCAAGGTTTATTCAGGCTGAAATCTTAGGACAAATGGTCTGTCTTCTCCCACCTTCATCCAGATCAGTGTTTCTCAAAGTTGCCAACTTTAAGACAGGTGGATGTGTCTTAAGTCCATTTGTCTCAAAGTTCCCAACTTTGAGAAACACTGATCTGGATGAAGGTGGGTTAAAAATAACGTGATCTGACAGATGCTCCTATCTTAAATTGGGAACCAACTTATAGAGAGGCACTCAAGCCACGTCATTAGCCCTTGGAACTCCAGGTCAAGATAACCCCAACCTTCCCTCTGGGGCAGCCCTCCGCTTCCAGCCTACACCCTGAGTGACTCTAGCATCATTTCAGATGCTTGAAAATGGCTCCTCTTGATCTGTTCTGGATCGTGTAACCCTGACTAGAGCATGTAGGTCTGTATGTTAGAATGTTTGGCATTTATTAGATTAAGTGCTGTCTCCTTAAGAGATGGCTTATGAGTAATGTAGTTTTAGCTAGTCAGCTATCACATGTTAACAGATCAGTAGTAGGATAGGAGGAGCCACTAAAGTTCATCACAGGATATCCTGGCCATGTGCCAGTTTGGAATGCCTTTGTCTTTGTGCAAACCAACCATTTAGCACACTTGGACATTGAATGTAATCAGGTACAAGTGAATATGGAGACACTATTGATTTTACTGACTTAATGGACATATTCACCAACTGGACGCATCTTCAGGAATGTAAGTTTCTGTTAAGGATTCTGGATTAAATATTTGTTTAAAATTCAGGGGTTCTCAACCTTGGCAACTTTAAGACTTGTGGACTTCAACTGAGAGTTGAAGTCCACAAGTCTTAAAGTTGCCAAGGTTGAGAACCCCTGGTTTAAATCCATTTTGTTGCATTATCTGTCTGGATCTGGATTGGAAGGCAACTCAGTTCAGGATCCGGAATAGGATCTGACACTCTCCAACATGGCTAAGACAATTTGCCGCAATCAGAGATTTATGGTTTGGTTATATTGTGTTGTGTTGCAACGACTGTATTAAAAACAGCCTGTATCTTAAAAGGTTAAATCATGGCAACTGGAGCAAAGTTTACCAAAACTGAGAGGTTTCGTTACACATCCAAATAGCTTCTCCAGTGAAAAGGAAAATCGGTTGTCATGATTTAACCTTTTAAGATAATTTTGGCCTGGATGACTGAACCTTCATTTACATGTTAAAAACAGCCTGCTTGTTTTTTTCATTCTTGTCACAGTGGTCCAGTGGATAGATGAGGTCCAATACTAGTGGTCAGTTTAGCCATAGGCAAGGATTATGGGAGATGTAGTCCAAACCGATGGCCTCTATCTCTGCCTCAAGTTTAATAAATCTCTTCCCTGGGTCTCTATGAGCAGAAATAATCCATTGGGAAGCTTCTGCTGTAATGTATATCTCGTTTCTAAAGTATTACAAGGCCTTTCTGTGTTTCTCACACGAGACAGAAAAAAACCCCATTGGAAACAAATGCTCGCTATAGTAAAACAGTTGAAATAACCAATATTAATAATAATTTTCATTAAAATGTAGCATGTGAGTTAATAATTAATGCTGCATAATTTATTTGCTTAAATTGCGATCAAATTCCATTTTCATGCCCTCTCTGGCTTGTTTTTATAGCTTTTAATTAATGTTATGGATAGGCCCACATTTTTAGTGTGTCTTTGTTGGGGGCAGACACGAAAGTGGGAATGAAAACATATTTCCAGCAATAAACAAGTCGAGAAGCAACCCAGAACAATTCATGAACAGCAATGAAAAAAAGAAAAAGAGATGATAAAAGTGCTCCAGCTGCAAAATTCTGAAACAATGAAAAAACGGTTATTTTACCAGTTGGTGAACTTCTACGGCAGTGGTCCTCAACGTTTGTGTGATGGCGACCCCCGTCACACAAACGTTACGTGCATGTGTGGCGCGGCGCGCATGTGTGGGGCGCCCCCATGCGCGGCGCGCATGCGTGGCACCGCCCCCTGAGGGGGAAAAATGGCGGATCGCCTTGTTTGGCGACCCCCGAGAAATGGTCGATCGACCCCAAATGGGGTCGCAACCCATAGGTTGAGAATCGCTGTTCTACGGCAAAGAATGCACAAAAAGACCTGTTGGGCTGAAAAATGCACTTCACACACACACACACACACACACACACACACACACACACCATTTGCACATCCTCACCATCTCCCTCTCTCTCTTCTTACCCACCTAAATATCACCCTCTGGACACAAAAAAGGCCTTAAGGAAGAGGCGCAAAGCACCACGAAGTGGTACACGGGCAGTTTCTCGACCTAGACCACAATGGAGCCCAAAATTTATGTTGCTAAGCGAGACAGTTCTTAAGTGAGTTTTGCCCCATTTTGCAACCTTTCTCACCACACTTGTGAAGTGAATCACTTAACAATCACAGTTGTTGAGTCCCCATTGACTTTGCTTGTCAAAAAGTCATAAAAGGGGATCCCATGACCCCAGGACACCGTGACCGTCATACATATGAACCAGTTGCCAAGCGTCCAAATTTTGATCACGTGACCACGGGGAGGCTGCAACAGTCGTAAGTGTGAAAAACGGTCCTAAGTCACTTTTTTCTGTGCTGTTGTAGCTTCGGATGGTCAGTAAACGAACGGCTATAAGTGGAGGACCGCCTGCGTCGTCTCCGTGCCCTAGCTGTTGCTCTTAGGGAAGTGAAGCGAGTGGCTAGTTCTTGGGAGGGTGCAATTTTCCTGCAGGGATTCTGGGGGAAACATCTTTCCCTCCTTCTCCCAGCCTCTCCACAGTCCTTCCTCTTGTCCAGAGCTGCAGTGTGGAGGGAGACGGGCCGTCCAGAGGAGGAACCATCCCAGGGAGTCTCACCCTTCCTGGACCTGTGAGGTCCCTGGCCCTTGGCAAAACTTGTCAAATCATAAAAATCCAATCCTGAGAACTCAAGCAGAGGATTCTTAAAGAAACAGTACTTTATTTTTGATCGAAATAAGTCCTGGGTGGGAATACAATCTGAACACTGGCAGCAGTTGCGTTCAGAAGCGCCACACCTTAGACAGTTAGTAGCATTGCTTTATAAACTTTGTAGCCAATGAAAATCAGACAACAGAGTTATTATAATATAAGGGAGGCATCAATCATTCCTGTACACTCCCTTATTCCCTCCTTCAGTACATCCCATCTGTGTGCGTGTTTCCCACGCTTGCATGAAATTTATCCCTGACCCAAACACTGGTTATAGAAACGAGATAGCAATAGTTAGGCAAGGTTACACAATTTGTTTCTTTTTCTAGTTCCAGTTCCAGAACCCTACAGAACGATCCCAGTTTTGCTGTTCTGCAACTCCACGAAACTCTTGAGGGTCCCCAGAGACCCACTTGGCCTCAAGTCCCATCCTTCTCCAGCCCTGCCGGCTTCATATTTCACTGAACCCTCCATTTATCAAGCCAGCTATTGATCAAGGAAGCCAAGATTCAATCTAGAGTCTCTTCTCCAAGTTCTTTTTTTCTTTTGGGGGAAGCTTCTCTTCTTTACAGTAAATTATTCAGGCACATCAGGATCAGCTCAGCCTCCGGGTGACTAAGCGGTGATTTGCACATTTTCCCTCTGGCTCAGGAGGTCTACGGATGGATCTCCCTGAATTGTTGAATTGGGGGATTCCACCTGCAACCGACCGGGGTTTTTTCCCTTTCATTCCTGCAGTAAATGAAGACTGGGGGCAGGGCTGAGCAACTGCAGCTAATCCTTGACTTACGACAGTTCGTTTAGTGACCGAAGTTATAACGGCACTGAAAAAAGTGACTTATGACCATTTTTAATACTCAGGTCACATGATCAAAATTCAGA